CCCCAAAACCCCAAAACCCCAAAACCCCAAAACCCCAAAACCCCAAAACCCCGAGATAGAAATGGATAATTGAAAGTACGTATCAGTTATGCAGGCAATATGTATTGGTTGTAAGAAAAACTATCTGGCGTTTTACTGGCTGATAAATTCCTCCTTGCTTTCTTACCCAGAATTGGGTCAGTAAAGATATTATGATCATACTCTACAGGGTGAGTTTCGATATTCCAGAATTCTTCAAAGCTGTTAGCAAGAGTAAAAAAGTCTCTCTTTGTTGGTCCTTTTAGTATTTGCTCATCTGAAAATATTTTAGAGTTAAACATGAAGTGAATTACTCCCCAGACTTCAACACTTGTCTTCTGGAATATATCTTTAGCTTGAAGCAAGAGGCTGATTCCTTCTCTGTACTTCTCAACAATAAGATACTGCTTTTTAAGGAGAATATCCTTCATAAAGAGAAACTGTCTTTTAGAGGGTCTAAAGTCTGCCATTAACAAATCAAGCTCCAGCAAGTTATTCTCCTTTATAAACTCCTCTCTTTCATCACCAAAGAGCTTATCAAGAGCCTTTATTGTCTCATACTTGGTCGTATACTCCTTGGTTGGTCACTTTTTAAAAAACTTGTCAAAAGGACAGGCATGGTTTACTACTATCTTAAACACCTCATCCATAAACCTCTTATGTCTCTCCATCTGTAACTTAGATGTCTTATTAAAAATATCTCCGAGATTCTCTTTGACATCTTTCTTCATCTCAAAAGTTTCTGGGTCAATAAACTTCTGAAACGTGTCAATCTTGTGCTTCCTAGAGTCTTTCTCGAATGTTTTAATCTCTTTACCGAAATACTCCAATTTCTCATTCCTGTAGTTAGCCACTAAGTTTTGGAGTCGAAAGTTTTCCTTCTGTAGTTCCTTGATCTTCTCTTCAAGGCCTTGGATATAGATCTTCTTCTTGTCTCTTCATTTATTTAGACCTGATCTTGCCTCGCCTTCTTCGTTCCTCGATTGAGGTATCAATTTTGTTCTTCTGCTGGTCAGTTTCTGAAGACAAGCTGTCTTTTTTGAGCTCTTCATTTTGGGGAGATTGAGGGGTGATATTGAGGGAAGAAGCATCATCAAACATCTTGGATAAGGGCTCTAGAGGGTCAGGCCCGAAGACTGATATGGAAGGGTCAAAGAAAATGTCCATTATAGTAAATTATATTATGAAAGTTAGAATACTGGGGTTTTGGGGTTTTGGGGTTTTGGGGTTTTGGGG